CTAGTAGTAACAAGTGCATCGCTAGTAGTAACAGGTGCCTTACTAGTAGTAACAAGAAGCGAACGTAGAAACAATAGAAGCTAGTAGAAGCGAACATTGCTCCTAGTAGTACGGCCAGGAGCCCCGAACGTAGCGTTCTTGCTCCTGGTAGCGATGCCCTTTGCTCCTAGTAACTAGTAGCAAAGGAACCTAATAGCGATGGCCTCCAACCTGATAGCAATGGGATAAAACTTGATAAACCCATATTGAAACGCTTGCCTGTACTTACATCCCTCTGCATCGCGCTGCATCTCTTGCTTTGCCGAGGAGCACTTCCAGTACAAAGTGGATTTGTGTCATGTGGCTCATCCAAAAGGCGATCTCGTCCCTGGCGAGGCTATGGTTCTCTTGGGGCAAAACTCTTTGAGGACCCTTTGGCATTTAGAAAACACACGAACACATTTCAACAGGGGGGCCGGGGTTAAATAAAAAGGAAGGAAGTACGCTGTCCATGAAAAAAACAAACCATGTTGGCCCATGCAGGCACACCGCTAGTGAAATCATTGTGTGTCTTGTTCTAACAAGGAGCAAGGACGCTACTAGTAGCAGCTCCTGGCCTTACTACTAGGAACAAGAAGCTACTAGTAACACGGGCATCGCTACTAGGAATACTAGTAGCACGAAGCCAATTGAACAACACTTGAACTACTCTTGAACCGAAGAAAAAAACGACCAACTTAGCGTCACAAGCGACGAGCAAATTAGAGTCACAAGCGAACACCTCACCCTTTTGAACCACCCAAAGATTCCCCATTGTGAAGCAATAAGTCAAACGATTCTCGCCGTGGTATCGTGGTTTGAAGTTGGATTAGTGAAACTGAAGGAAACCTATAGTTGAATTTGAGGCTATAATGTGTTTTCTTTCTGGGATTATTCAGGCTCAAATTGTTCAAACACTTTAACACGAGTTGTGGGGCTGTCCTTTGTTGTTCCTTGTTTTGTTATTTTCTATCTTCTTTGCTTTTCATTTACAGGACACAATTTCACTGTAAGAATGACACTCTCAAAAGAGGCATCTGAAACAAGACCTGCAAAGGAGAAACCAACATGACATGACCGATGCTTCTAAACCAAAGCTCTCATCAAGACATGTCCCAAGTATACAAACAACGATTTTCAACAACATCTTAGAACCAACAAAGATCTAGGACGCTACTAGCAGCTCCTGGCCATACTACCAGTAGGAAGAAGCTACTAGTAACAAAGGTCATCGCTACTAGGAGCAAGGAGGCTCCTAGGGCGCTCCAGCATCCCACATGAGCAACTTTGACGGAGCCTTTGAGATATCACTGTTCACTTTGACCCCATGGCCATCGATACTTTGCCTGACATATATCACTAGTATGATTATGATCAATTTCATACGTGTTAAACCTATCGATGATTTTGCGAAACAAGAAGCTACTAGGGGGCTCCTGGCCTTACTACTAGGAGCGTTCGGACGCTACGAACGGGGCTCCTGGCATCGCTACGAACGGAGCATTCTTGCTACTAAAAACCTTCGGAGATGATCAAGAACAGTGTCTACCCTATCGGGGAAGTCACTTCTTTTCAATCACTTGGAGTCCCATGTGTACCCAATATGTACCAGCAATCTTTCAATTTGCTGGGCTGCGGTCCTCGTCAAGAGGCGGGAAATAGGAGGCCCCCTATCGACGTGGATCCCCTAATACTAACTTTTCAAGCACCATGTCGTGGCTCTCCTAGGCCTAGCTCCTTCCTCCCATCCTGGTGCGTTCCCAATTACCAGGGAAAAACAAAAAGTTGTGTAACAAGCCCTCTCAACCAAGCCGCAGACCGATTCTCCAAAATTACGACTTTCCAAATGTCATCTTGTGGCTCATCCCGGTGACAGTGACCCCTTTACGGAAATAGATACATGCAGCAATATATGAGAATTACATAAAGTGGTATAGGGTTAATTGCATAACAGGTGCCACGCTAGTAGTAACAGGTGCCACGCTAGTAGTAATGATTGAATTCCTTCTACACCTCGAGACCCCTCCAAATCCCACAGAATTGTTTAAATCCCTACTTGCAAACTCTTTTTGAAGTAGAGTTGTCAAGCTCACAAAGTGTCGTCCCCCGCCCACACAGGCACTTACCCTTTAATTAGATGACCTTGAAGCAAGAAAAGTATATAGTTTCCTCTGCACCCCTGGAAAAGGCCGAATTTAGATGTCTGTTGTTTCTTGTCATTGATATTCTGAAATGCTTTTGGTCCCTTGTGATGTCTCTGTTTCTTTGAGTTCTTTCTGAACACGTTGATTCCTTAGATTCCTGTTGATGTCTTTTCTCGTCCCCATGAGACCACGATGGGCTCCATTGAGTGAATGCCACGCTTGGTGACGTAATCACGAGAATGCCCGTGCACCACATAGTTCTTTGGGTGTGATCAAAGGCCTTACTACTAGTAACAAGAAGCTACTAGGAACAAGTGCAT